CCATTCAGCAACAAAGATGGTAGATTCAACGCGGTTTTTATGGTTCATCGCTAGTTTCAGGATTTCACCACTAGTTCTATGGTTTCGAACACCAAAAGAACAACCACCCTACTGTGGATGGACGAAACCCATTTCGCACCCCTTTGAAACCATGGTTGACACCATCACGTTTGTTGGCATTTACAGGCGGAAGCATCAGAAACCAAGGGGCGAAATGGATTTCGCACCCATCCACAGCATGAAATGCAAGGGAGCTGGTAGTCTAGGTCCTCCAGTAGAGAGGATCAGCCTATCCTTTGTGGATCAAAAGCTGAGGTAGAAGTAGTTAGTAGCCTTGGTACCCAAGTGGGTTAGGACCTCAATTATTCACCACTTCCCAGCTGGGACGAAGACCCAAGTTGCGGAATATACCCTTTGGTGCATTTCGCCAAGGGATGTTCGGACTTGAACTTTGGGCCAACTAAGAGTTGGGTTTTCCGTGTTAAACCACCAGTAGTGCCCTTCTCTCTCCTTTTTTGGGGGGTGGGTTCCCCTACTAAAAAAGACTACAGGAAAAAAAGGTGCCCTTATTCTAACCTCTCTACTGGAGGACCTAGGCCATGTACCTGAACCCACCAAACTACCCACAAACCACCCACAAGAAAGGCACATATGCTAAAAGTTGAACTTTTAGCAGGGGAGCAGATTTCGCAACCGAGTATCATACAGACAAACAGGGTCTATGGGTTGCTCTTTGACCGAGCCTTCAATCAGACGAATGCCTCCCCAGCTCGATGTTGACTTTTGCAAAGGTCTTTGATAAGGCTTGTCCATTTATGGAGGGGGTTCTCAAGGTAGCTGGGCTCTCCTCCGAAGCGATGTGCTATTTTAGCGTCGATACATGAAGCAGAATCAGAAAGAATCATGTTCTGAGCGCCGAGATGTGGGGCCAAGATCGGGGTCTCGCAAGAATAGCTAGGCTGTGTGTCTGGTTCCCTTCGAATGAATTCGAAGGAGCTCACCGATTCGGGTGAGCATTGGCCATGTAGATGGTTTCACCTGGCTTCATGGGATTTGTAGCAAGGCTTATTATACGGGTTGCGACCCCCAAAAGAGAAGGCAATCCTTTGAAATCAACCTTAAGAGTAACGAGTTGATTTCCAATTCACTAAGTCTCAATGAGAAGCACCCATTCTCCCCAGAGGGTGGCCAATTTGTTTGAATAGAAGGGAAATGAAATTTAGCTAGAGACCGTAGTTTGAGGCAGCTCATTTTGAGCCTGGCTTCCTTTTCGGGTATTCTACCTGGCCAGTTTGACTTTATGGGACATGGGATTTCGGTTTCCCTGTAGGTTCATGAGCGTTTTTGGTTTGAGACGTGCGAAGGATTGAAGACCAGCGGAACTGGTTCCATTTGAAGCGCTTGCCCATTTCCATGAACGCAAAAGCCCAAAGGGCTTTTGCCCTTGTTGAGGCCAACTTGATGTTCAACAAAACGAAGGGAGCCAACTTGAAGGGTGTTCCCTTGAACTTGGCCAACTTGAAGGGAAAACTTGTTGAGGCCACAGGCAAATCTAGGGTGTGGCCCAGATACTCCCAAAACGCGAACAACGACGCCTAGGTCCCCCAGCTAGATGCCCTTTTTCCAACTTTTTTGGGCGAGGGTTCCCCTACTAAAATAGACTACAGAAAAACAGTCTGATATGACTCCCCTCTATCATCTCTCATTTGTTGGGATTATCAAGTCTGACCTTTGCGGCCTCCATGAGGAGCAGAAAGAATACCCCCCCACTCCAAATACCCTCTTTTTTTAGGGTATGATGTCGACCCTCTACCAATAAAGATTGTATTTACCATGGAAACCCAGGTTCTTCACAAAATGCCCTCGAAAAAGTGAGTATTTGGAGTAGGGGGTAAGCAAAGCAACTCATGGCTACGCATTTCAACAGGGGACCCCTTCAACTGTGCTTGGTGGACATGCATCCCCCACCATCGTTCCGGGTCTCTAATTCTGATTCATAGCCAGACGTGAATTCGGCGCAGCCGGGCGCCGGGAGTGCCGAGGTCAGCTGGTAGCGTACCTGGCGGCGATCCAGCGCTTCGGCCATCGGTGTGCTTTTCTGTCAGCCTAGGATTCGGAAGGGAGCTCTACCAGAAGACCCAAAAACCTCTAAATATGTCATGCCCCAGGAAACACGATGCTTTTTCGAGTCTTTAGGTAGAGATCAGGTTAGCCTCAAATTTGGCAACGGTCTCCTTTTGGTTTCTAACATCACCTGCAAAACAAGCGCCCTTAAGACAAATACACACCCATTTTGATGGTTGGGGCCTTGACCCCTGATTCTTGTAGAAGGTAAATGTGCCCCAAGTGTATGCTCAGTATGGGTGGTCAACGTCACTCCGAAGCTTCCCGGGACCCGCCCAAAATTCCAGTGGCACTAGCTAGCAGTTGGCCTTTTTTCCAGCCAAACTGAATCTCCAACCCAAAGCTATTCTATGGGTGGTTCCCAGACATCACATCTTTTGGGTTTTTAGGGTTTAGTGGGGTTCCATTTAACCCACTGAAAGTCAAGCTTTTAGCAGATCGGTTTGGACAGCCCAGGTTCATCTAAATTATGAAACAGGAGCCAAATTTTCTGCACTGGGGTCCACTCATCCAGATCTCGTTTGCCTTGTTCCCCCTAGGGCGACCAAATTACCCTCCAGTCCCTGCCACGGAACGCAGCAATCCCGTAAGGAAAATGCTCCAGGACTGAGGTTCCATTGTGGATGGGGCACTTTGTCAAAGTTCCGACTTTGAAGGATGCACCAGAAAACGAGAGGAAGTAATATACTAGCTGCTTGCCTGCTTGCGTACCAGCTTGCTTGCTGGCTGGCTTGCGCGCTGGGTGTCTGGATGCTTGCGTGTTTACTTGTTCGGGATCTATGAATGCAACCTGCTCTATGGAAATTACACGCACTGTCAGCAACTATACGCAGTGCCTGCACTGCACGTGCGCAAATCTGAATGTTTAGGATGTCACTTCAACGGACCCAGGAAAGGGACGCAAATGCCATTTGACATCTTCTGAACAGTAAGGGTCGAGGCGCCTGAAAAACCAGATCGCCAATGTTAGATTGTAGGGTAGACCAAGTATGAACCAGAGTCAAACATGTTTTTGTGTACCCAGATATGGGCAAACAAACGTTGTTTAACTGTGTAGAAACTGGGTTACAACCAGGGTGACCATATATTTCACCAAGTTCCGGGCCATCTAGGACCTTGAATCAGCCTGAGATGTTGGGTGCTTGTTGGAGAAGCCATCAAAGAGTGGGGAAGCCAAACGGAAAGGGGAAGTGACACTATTTAGTTTCCGTTTCGTTCCACTTAGTCCAAGGGCCCCACAATTGTGTGGTTCTCCGTTGGTGTCCAAATAAAAAATGCCAAAATGGCTTCAAACAAAAACAAAACGATTTCTGCAAAATGTTGTGTTTCCTTTTGGCTTCTCCTTTGTCCTTTGAACAGAGGCCCCAAAAAAGCGGAGTCGCCCAAAACGTCCACCCCAAGTGGGCCACCAAGTGAGCCACGTCCTCAAAGCCCGGGTAGATGATCCGGTTAGGGGACAATCCTGCCATGGCTGCGGAGTTGTCCGGCTTCTTAATTCTTGAAGCATGGTTCCGGGCTTGGACCATTTTAGATACCGGGGTTTGATTGTGACGACGTCCGCTGGGTTACCAGGTGCAAGGGCGACGACGTGCCCTGGACTCACCAGGCTCTGAAGCCGCGCTTCGAGCGCCCTGGCGATGAGATTCGGAGAAAAACTGGTGACGTTCTCCGAAACCCATTGGCCCCCTGGGTGGCGCTTCCCCAGCCATCCGGTTCAACTTGGCTTTTTAGCCTAGTGTTTAGTGGTAGTTTCCATTTGACCCACTAAAAGTTAAACTGTTTTGGCCCTTTGACCGTAACTTTGTTAGGCGGAGGGTTCTACTAAAATAGACTGCAGAAAAAAAGTTGGTACCAACTTATTCTAACCTCTCTACTGGAGGACCTAGTTTCCTAAACCCTTGCAGTTGCTTAAGAATATGTTTGTTAGTTCCCCTGTTGGAATTTCAAAGGGAGTCAATTTCACCACTGGAAATAGTTTTCATTTTTTCCCAGGGGTCTTCAAGGGAAGAAGCCATTGGAGGTTTGGTGAAGCGGAGTGTCCCACCCTGTACCAGAACCAGGGACTTCAAGTCCGACTCCAAACCAGCAACTGAGTCACGGGATCAAAATGGGCGTAATCCCAGCACCATGCTTCAAGAACTATCAAGGCAGAATTCATCTACCCTTCATCTAACCTTCAAGGCGGTATCCCTTTCTAACCTTCATCTACCCGGATTAATTCTACACCCATTCCAATTTCTGGTTGGGGTATCCCTTTCTAAGCTTCATCTACCCGGATTTTGATTGTGGCTCAGGTTGCTCCCTCAAAAATCGCTGGATTTCTCCAGACGTTTATCAATTGACTGGTGGTTTCCAAGAAAGGAAATAGAGGAACCCTCCCTCCAATCATGGAAGTGGACCATCGTTTTCGCTTCCCCAAAACGAAGGTCTTCCAAAACCTTCCGAAGGTCAGCTTCCATCCCTTGCCAGCAAAAAGTTGTCTGAGAGAGATGTGAACCCTTTGGGCCCCGAATGGGTTTTGGATTCTGAGGATCTTTATGTCTATTGCAGCCCAAACCCCGGTACTTCACTGTTGCCAGGTTTTTAGGTGTTGTGGTTCTGTTCTCTAGGGGGCTCCAAACAAAAAAAGAGAGCAGACTCCGTTTTGTGTGCTGAGGGTTGGGAAGAGGATTTCGCCCAAGCCGAGGAGGCAGGATCTCACGCGTTCGGACACGTCCTACACTCCGATGGCGAGGCGACGTGGCGACGTTATCGCGCGGTTCATAGGGGCAGTGGTACTCCCCCTACTGTGGACGAAATCCTGCACAACTTTACCATTGTGGGTTGGTGTTTTCAGTGAAATAATCATTCCAGGATTCTTAGGTGGTGCAGGAGTTCGTCCATCCACAGTATGGGTGGTGTTCACTAGTGGGCCTTTCACCCCATGCCAACAAAGGTGCCCTTAAAAAAAGGACACCCCCAGGGATGTTTGTTGGATGCCTTGGATTTAGGCAATCAGGATTGGTGAGGGAACCATGGTGTTTGAACCAGAGCCTGGCCTCTTGGTTGCAGGTTTTACGCCCCGCGGCTTGTCAGGACATGCAAGGGTTTAGGTGTAGGGTTTGCAGTTTAGGCTTGGAGCTTCGGTCTGGGGTTTAGGCTTTTGATGTTCACTTTAGGGTGTTCAGGGTTTAGGCTTCTTAGGGTTTAGGGGTTTAGGGCGTAGTTTAGGTTCAGGGTTTGTCAAGGTTTGGTTTGGATTTAGGCGTTTTAAGGTTTGGGCTTGGGGATCTTGGTCGGGCCTGCCCCTCCAAAGCCCAAACAGCACCAAACAGCACCCCAAACTGGCCCCAGCACTTCCCTTTAGAAGTTAGAACCATTAGAAAAAGAAGTCTCTCGACTTTGGCCCATTGCATTGAAACTGAGTTGATGGACCCCAGAGATGGTTCCCAGAGATGGGGGCAACAGGAGGCTTCAACCATGCGTCTTCGAAACACGTGTCCGGCAGTGCCACAGCCGCAGGGCAGTTTTCGGGTTCTCGAATCAAAAACCCGAAGCGAATCTCAGAACCGGCGGCGCCAAGCAGATTCTTCCCTTTTGGTTTTGCGGCTTCCGCAATCCTCACTTGGCTGTGGGTCCAAACCCATGGTACCATTTTGACATTTTGAAGTAGGTGCACCACCCATTTTAAGTCTATTTTAGTAGGGATTGTGATGTTCACTGGGGGTACGGGATTTTTACCCATGGCCACTTTCAGGGTTACCATTTTTGTGGCGTTCCCACAAAGTTTGGGGACTTTGCCATGATTTTACTCAGGGTCGGAGTCCCATGTGTTGACCCTTAGGTAGGCTTAAATCCAGTCGCGTTGCTTTTCCTCGGAAAGAAAGATTTGGGTTTCAGTCTCCTGTGGGAAAATCCAGAAACGGAAGCCTGTGACCAAGGATTTTTCGGCAGGGCAGTTGAAACTCTGTTGCAACCAGTGGATTCCGCAATTTGTGTTTCGACTTTTGGTGTTCTGGGTTCCGAATCCGCTAAACTCGACCAACCAAAAAAGGATGCCAACTTCTTGTCCCATGGAAATCCACTGGGCATCTGAGGTAAACAGCACCCTTTTCAACCATATGACTGATCGTGTCATGGGTAAAGAGAGTCGTTGCTTTGCAAGAAGCACCCCGAACAAGGCCTTAATGAGGGGTGAATCAGGGAGAGGCCCCCCGCTCCAGTTCCCCCACTTAGGGTCCATGGTACAACCAATGGTGTTGGTGCGTCGAACGTATGTTGGACACGCCCCCATATTTTTGCACAACTCATGCGAGCCTGTCGATCCTTGTAAAAGAGCTTGCTGTTAACAAGCCATTTAGCCCATGAAGGCATGGTATTGTCGGCAGACTTTGGTCGAAAGCAATGTCCACTTTGTGAATTGCAGCAACTTGTCCAGACATGAGCCAACGTCTGCCAATGGGTTTGTTTTAAAGTAGGACACGGGTACCGCCCGCACGGGTAGTTTCGGTTTGGCCAATTCAAAGCAACCGCAACGTCACCTTGCCGCAGTACGGCAGTGGGCGGCAAGGCGGACAAGACGCTCGCCCGCATATGCCTCTCTCATGGGATTGAACGAACCGTTTCCACAATTTTCGTTGGGTTGGGACAGGGTTCGCTGTTATTCTCCTTTTGACTGTTTTGAACATCACCTGCTGGCTTGTTCTAAAGTGATTGTGTTCTTGTGCTACCCGCTAGCCTGTGAAAATGGTCCAACCCAACAAGGAAGGTAATCTAACGAATGTTTAACCCACATGGGGGGAACCCAACTATTCAAAGGGTAGACACTTGAGTTGTGGGAGGATGCGTGTTGTAATGCTGAACGTTGATCGATATTCCGTTCCCCACACAAAAAATGGGAAGCTGTTCCCATGTTCTGGAAATATCAGATCCTTTTTGGCGAATACCATCTTTTCAGTGGTTTCTATCGTTTGAGTGGTTTTCCAAACAATGGTCATCCCATGTTTACCGGACCTTTTGATCAACCTCCACCTGTCCCATAGCTCCCACGGAGCGAGCTCTGGATCCAGGGCTTTGGTTATACCCTACGGGGGACTGGCAATGGCTTTGGTGGGATTGAACCATGGCAAAGCTTCATTTGCTTGAGGATATGGTTTCTGGATGTTTTAAAGGGAATCTATCACTACTAGACATATTTTTCCCCAGGGAGCTCAGGCAATGGAAGAAAGCTGACCACTTGGCGATTCCTCCGAGGCCATCAAAGTAAGTCCTGATCAAAGTAAAAGCTCGCAATTATAGCAAGCGCAGGTGGGAGTGAGACGTGAGAAAAAGATATGGCATTGGGAGCCCAGATATTTCAGACGGTGTCCACTACGTCCAAACGCCCCCTTTTTGGTGGTTCTAACGCAAAACTAGAAGGGAACGCCACTGTTTAGTGGGTCAACAAGAATCGCACACCCACATAAATATGTGTTTTATGTATCTCGGCGGCTTGCTGCCCCAAACTACGGAGGGCAATGTGGTATTGCCACTCATCAAAAAAGTGTAACCTCCAGTGGGCGGTAAATACCCTCATTCCCTGGGGGAAAGTTGATCCGGATTTGTTCACCTGACGGAGTCTTGACGTAGCAGGTCTGTCGCATTTGATTGACGACTGAAAGAGCACCCGGCACATCTGAGATTGCGATGACAATGGACACGAAAATGATAAGGTTTTAATGTCGGGGTGTCCTAAAATGGAGGACCCACCTGGTGGAGTTCCCTCCAGTTTTCTTTGAACCAACCCCAAGACGGTACCCACCACAACAGACACACTTATCCATGTACACCCAGGATTAATCAACCCCAGGTTATTCCTAGGGGCGTTCGAGCATGCGTGTGTTTGTTTGTTTGTTGCTTGATTGGCTGGTTGGTTGGTTGGTTTGTTTGTTTGTTTGCGTCCGTTCAATTGAGGGACCTCCCCCTCCTGAAGTAGGGGGGATGTGTCCCTTTCAACCACCACCACCAAATGTCAACGTTCGGATCAAGTTGCATTCCCTTTGAAGGAGAGCTGGTACAGTGCACCACACGAAAATACAAGGCTGCTTTGGGGCAGCCCGTTTTTTTTAGTCATAGTTATGTCCATGCAAATGCCGATTTCTGCGTCACTGCTGAGTTCCTAACCACGTCCCTGGCAAACACAAGGTTGCCCTTTTTGATGGATTCCAACATCACCGTTTTGGCTCATAGGTGAGTTTCCCTTGGCAGAGGGTGATGTTCTAGTTAATGGCTGGGGGTATCAATTTTGCCTTTAACGAGGGAGCTAAGGAGCTACCATGAGTCCTGTAAAGGCATGGTAGTGTTCCTAAGTTGGACATATCGGGAACCCTTAAAAAGGGCGCTCCATGTCACAGGGCCACCTGGTAGGTTGGTGATTGGACCAAGTTCGTGTCTGTTTGGTATCCCGTTCATTTTAGAACATCCCCGCTCTGCAAAGAACTTCGGTGTCTTTTTGACCACCCCCAAAACCAATTTTTCGGCAGTGCAAGCCTTTTGACACACACACACACGCACAAACCACACCAAGAACCCTCAAAGCCATAGTCAAAGACTTTTGGGGTGTGCATGGTGTGTTTGTGTGTGTGTGTGTGTTTTGTGAGTCGCTGCGTGTCATTTCATTTGCTTAAGTTGTTCGTTTATTTCCCCTATTCGTCTTAACGGGAATAGCTTTCCCTACTGGACATACTGTGGATGCACCACTTTGAAACCGCAAACCATTGTTGGTATTTACAGGGGAATTGTCAGAAACCAGGCTTGAGTATGTGGTGCGAAATGGATTTCGCAACCCACATGTTCTCATTGGTTCCCTGGGGCGACCTAGTTGCAACTGGAGGCAAGCAATTGCCATCCGAGGCGATACTTATGGATCTGCGAGCCAAGGGAGTCAGATCTCCACCACGGCCCACATACGCGTGCCTCGGAGAGCTCGGAGGTGTCAATTGTCCAGGTCCAGCTAGGTGCCCTCTTAGCCTCTCGTTTTCTTTTTGGGGGGGGGGGTTGGGTTCCCCTACTAAAATAGACAAATCAGAAAAAAAGGTTGGTATCAACTTATTCTAACCTCTCAAATCTGGAGGACCTAGTTGTCTTGCTGCTTCGATCGGAGAGTTGGAGAAACACCCCGAGAAAAAATCATCGGACTGGTGTTCATGCCCAACTCACGGGGGTCATTCCCGACTGAAGATGTCTTCAGTTTGTCTTTGGTGTGTTTTGCCAAGGGATGTTCGGACTTTAAAGGGAGCAGATTTCGCAACCGAGATTTGTTGGGGGGGAGGACTTTAACTTTTAGCAGGAGCAGATTTCACCACCGAGATTTGTTGGGTTACCTTCCTTTTGCTCAACTAGTTGGTGGTTGGAAGGAGCCGCTACAGAGCTTTGGGGTATCCAAGTCTGCCTGTGAAGAGGGAGCTAAGGAGTTGTTGGATCGTGTTTCTGGTTTTTGGGTTGTTTGGCTCTCTTCATTTTTAGGGGGCTGTGAGAAACACTGTTTTTTGCTAACCAAGGGGCACCTCCAGAACCGGTTGTCGTTTTGGTGTCCTTTGAGAACCCCAAAGGAGAACCTCAAAAACACCCATGTGTCTTTGTTTGACTCACTTCCTGAGTTCCTGAACTTGAAACTCTTGGGGAGGCCATCTTGATGGTTAAACAAAAGGAGCTTTGCTTGGCCAATCCACTCGATGGGAGATGGTTCCCCGATTTCGAGGCTCCGAGTCAAGGAGAATCTCTGATGGACCTACTTAGATGGTGGCTCAGAATGGACCAAAATGCCAGCTCGATGCATGGAACCAAAGACTGAAGCCTGCAGCTCTCAAATTTTGAGCCATGGCTATGAATTCCACTGGAATCAACTAAGGTGTTGGCGAACTTGCATCACAGTCGAGGTGAAAGTGCCAGGTCCAGGTCTGTTCCATGGAAATTCTGTTCACGGGTTTTTGTGAGTCTCCCTGGGGGTTCGTTGGAACTCCACAAAGTTCACAGCCCAGAAAACGCCGAGCCATTTCTGGAAGCTCGGAGACGAGCTCAAGGGGCTCCTTCTGAGGGCATCAAGTTCAGTCAGCCTCCCTCCAAGGGCGGTTAGCCCCATGGTTTGGGACAAAGGAAGCCCTGCCTCTTGCAGCATGGGAAACCCCTCCGTTTCACCACCAAACCGGGCTCCAAGCCACCAATCCGAGACAAGAGTCAGCTTCATGTTCGCTCAGGGGCCGTGAGCAGCGCCTTCAGTCTGCTGGCCGCGGCTCGAAATGCCAAGTTTCGGGTGCTGTCAGCCAAATGTCATGAGAACGCGGGCCTTCTGTCATGCTTCCCCCTTTTGGTGGTCTGAAGTAGCACCTCCTGGGCAAGTTTTCAGTACAAGCTCCTTTTTTTTGGTGGTTTTAAACATCACCTTGTGGGTGTTTTACTCTAAGCGTCCTGTTCCGTGATTCTAGTCATCACCTTGTGGGCTGATTTACTGTGAGCTTCCCTTGGCGGGGTGTTTTTTGGTTGGAACTGTAAAGTCTTGTGTCACCTTCGTTTCCCAGCGATGCCTCTGGGAAACTCTTGTTTTCCAGTGCGGCTTTAGGGAGCCTTAGTGCCCGTTGGAGGTCGATGCGTTTTAGTGGGGGAATGTTCGGCTTTGTTGGGGGTGTGCTTGGGTCTTTTCGTTTCAGCTTCTCTGGAAAGCTGCTTGTCTATCTTTTTGCCGGCTTTTGTGGAGTTTGCTGGCTTTTGTCATTTTTGCATGGCGTTGATGGCTTCTGTGGCTTTTCTTGTTTTGTTTTGTGGCCTGTGGGGCTTTTGAGCAAAACCTAAGGCAGTGTCGACATGACATCATTCCTCGCTAGGATCACCAGCAACACACGGAGCTCGCTATTGGCTTAAGCTTGGCTCGCTGAATGGCGAAAGTTCAGCGTTGCTTTGGAGTGGGCTTGAAGGTCGGTGCATGGTTGCATGAATAACCATATGCAGGCTGCTCGCTCTTTGTCACATGGGTGTTGGTTCAGCTGGAGTAGGGCCGTTCTGCGCTGCCAGGACGAAACGCCTCGCGTAGTGATGCAATTGGTGTTTGTTTCGTGTTCTTATGAAGAGGGGGGGGGCCCTCCCCTCCCCCCAAAACCCAGCTTGTTTTTAGAGCTCTCAGAGTGCTTTCAGGGGTTGCGTTTGCTTGCGCGCTTTCTGGATTGTTCTTCGTGTCGGAGTGGCTGAGCCACTGCAACCATCCCGCCTGCTATGAACGCTGTGAAGCACTCGAAGTGCTCTGACGGAGTCCGCTTTCTTACACGCTTGATCTTTGTAGTTGAGGTTTCTTACCACTATATACCACTTTGCAGTGTTTTTCTCACCTTGCAACTTCAGCCGACTAACCGTTGTAGCTGTTGAAAACCCTGAGAAACACTGAACACTCCTGAAACCCGCATTAGACAAAACCAACAATGGAAACACCACTCAACACCAATGTGGAACAGGCCACTCAGCCTGCCCTGAATGATGTTGTTTGCGACTGCCTGAAAATGCAGCATCCTGAAAGCCAACCCTAAAGCAACCCTAATCCCACCTTCCGCAAAAACCATTCCAAGCCAGCCCTAAACCGCTTCAAACCAAGCTCAGCCACAGGTCGCTGCACTGGGATGTGTTCGGTACTGCAGGGGTACAACATTAAACGTAAGACGCCCCCCCTGCCATCGATCTTCGGTTTTTCCGATTTGGTCCACGTTTCAAGGTCCCAAAAGGTGGCAAAGGGAATCTAAGCAGGGAACCGATCCGAAAGTGGTTGGTACAATCGGCGCCCTAGGGCTTCTTTCTGCACGCAAGAGTCCTACTGATGGACGAAATCCGTTCGCACCACGTTGAAGCCATGGTTCAAACCATGCTTTGTTGGTATTTACAGGGGAATCAAATCATTCCAGGGTTTCTTAGGTGGTGCGAACTGGATTTCGCAACCATCCACAGTAGGATTCGCCTTGGCTAGTTCAGCCGTCCACCCGGCGGCCTTATTTTTCGTTTTTCTTGCATGGTGCGCGGAAGAACGGTCCATGTTTGGTGCCCCAAACGCGGCAAAAGTGGGCGATGCCCATGGCTTCTCCCGCGGCAAAGAAGCCTGATGCCAAGTATATGGTTGCCCAATGACTTGGGAGGCTGGGGGGGGTCCTGGTTGTGCAGACGGCGTTCTCTTCAAGCATTGGCTCTGCGAATTCAAAAGTCAGGTTAGAGGCAGACTCTTTTTTCACCAATTGGTAGATGTGGCTCACCTTAGCCTTTTGCAAAAGTGTTCCAGTTTCCTCAACCTGCATGTTGAAGAGAAAAACATTTTTGGGGATGAGAGTCCTGGGAACCCCTTAGCCTAGAACTTCCATTTTCCCCCGACGAAGTGTTCACTTTCCAGCTGGTGCTTGGCTCCGGGCTGCTTCCGTAGAAATGGTTTGGGACTTGGACATGGGGGGGTACCCCTCAGGGTGGTGAGTTGTTGGTGCGTGTTATTGGTTCTCTTCATTTTTAGCGACTTGAGGTTTTGACGAGTTTTCGGTTCTGTTACCTTGTAGCGAGACCCGGTCGACTTTGGGGTCGAGACACGGTCGATTTTGGGGTGAAGATCACCCTTGGCCCCTTCGTCTCAGGAGAGTTCCAGTTCCGACGAGCAGCTGAAGATGGTTCGGCAAGCCCTGCGGGAGGAGCTCAGGGCTCGCTCGGGGCTCGCGGAACTTCGCGTGGGAAGTTCGGATCGATCCCGGGGACTCCAGAAGGGTTTCCGGTCGGAGTGTCAGCTTCCTCTTGGGACTGGTTTGGGACCCAGGTGCAACCAGCTTCCGCCCTTTCTTTCTTCGACTGTTTTGGGGGTTGTGGGTTCCGATTCCTGAGAAAAGTCAACCAACCAAAAAAGGAGGCCAACTTTTTTCCTCATGGCCACTGGGCAGCAGTGGATACCCAAACTTGGTGCTTCGGGATTTGAAAGGGTACCTACTCGCTGGTGTGGAGCCAGATTGGTGGTTTGGGAGAAAGGAACCCCTGGATCTTGTAGAGGGTAGCCACCAATCCAAATTACCAATGAGAGGGAAGCTGAGAGTGGGTGAGTCTCGTGAAAGTCAAGTAACAAAGATGGATACCCTTCTTCCTCCACTGCTCACTAGTCGGGCAAGTATGTAGCAACCAAACGGTGATATATGTGTTTTTCTCCATGAATAATTACTGGAGGATGGGATCAGAGAAGCAAAAAAAAAAACGACTCCCTCAGGGCCTCAGAAGTCCGCCATGCAGAGTTTTTACTGCGGACACAAGATCATGGGTTGTTGTTGGGAGACATTTTTTACATTTTTGCTTATGGTGGTTTAGTGGCTGAAATCCAACTACTTAGCTGCTCAAAATTTATTTGTTTTTGCTCCCCAAACCCAACGTCAACCAAGATATGAGTTGTGAATGCCAACATGAGCCTCCAGGTGAGAAGTTCTCACTTTGGGTCCAGCTTCAGGCCCTGGGGCCCTGGGGCTCCTTTTGGCTGTGAAGCGAAATCCTGCAGGCTGTGGAAATGTTGGCATACATTCACCTGGTGTTACAGGATGTAAACCTTTTTCTCACCTGATGGCCGAGGGCACCCATTTGGGGCCCAACATGGCTCTTGCCGAAGTAACTTTGGCCCTTGCGACTCATCGGTAGGTCTCCCCCAACTTGTTTATCGGGGAAGTCGAGTGATTCCGAGTCGTTGAAAATATAAACTGGAAGCTTGGCCGAAGTCATGGATCCTTGGAAGCGTGATGTTCCCTGTCCACATCGTCATGGAAGCCGCCATTGGTCTCCATGGTGGACAGGGTAACTAGTTGGTGGCAGGGAGCCGTTGCGGAGCTGCCACAATTTGCCTTGGGGAGCCTTTCGGAGCCACTCCTGAAAGGACGAATGTCATGTTGGCGAATTGAGATTTCCTGAAATCGCGGGGGCAACTTCCGTTAGTGGCCAACCCGAACGGAAACCTCGGAACCCAGCTGTCGCTGTTGAGTGCGGCAATACCCTAAACTGGCTAAAAACCTAGAGAGGTCTAAGCGGGTATAGACGGGGTAAAGGCGGACACAGGGCCATGTCACGCAGTCAAGGCCAATGTCTTCTTGCCATGGCCACCAAATGCGAACTGAGGGCTTGGGACGCGGGAGGCTCGCGAAACGAACCGTGGCTTTGAATCAAAGTCCGCCGTGGGAAGGGTAGATGTCTAAGACAAGCTGGAGAAAGTCCTGCAAGAAAGCCCTTGCTCTTGGTGGATGGTAAGTTCCTGAGATTTCTGTAGCTTTCTGAGGACATGCAAAAGCGCTCGTTGGTTTACGCTCGTTGGAAGTTTTGGCCTTCGCATGGGTTTTGCATGGCTTCAACCTCCATAGAAGACATCGGAAAAGCTATGTCTGCTCTTGTTCCAGGGTGTGCGGCAACCCTTTGCGACGGAGCCCTAGCCGTTGATTTCTGCAGGAAGCCACGCAGGGATGTCTTAAGGCTGCTAGATTCAGTGGACAAAATCCTGCACAGGTTGGGACAATTTGAATAATCTACCTACCAAATGGATTTTTGTCCATGTGTCTGTTGGGGGGCGTCATACCCTCAGCCTCTCACAACCCGCGTTTGAAGGGTACCCTTTTTTGGTGGTTCTGACGGGCAACCAAAACAAAAACCACCATTTTGGGGGAGGGGGTCCTGAAAAAAGACACCCCCATTCTAGTGCTGCACTAGCATGCAACCTGCAATGGGGGCGGGTCTTACTTGGATCACCAGCCTTGTTAGCAAATGGTGTTTTGTTGATCATAACGTCACGCCGCAACTTCAAACCCTAACACTCACCACGTGGTTGGCACTGATTTAGCCGCGGCTTCAAAAAACCAGCCACGATTAGTTGTTGAGATTGCAATTGATTCTTCGATATCTGCAAGAGTCTGCCGAGCCTCGGATGGTGTGGGGCGTCGAACCCCTGTAGTTTTCCGCGGCTTGTGGTTGTCACTCTCATTAGCCGCTTCCATCGCACTCCTGTCAGCTTTCAGTGAGACAAGCCTGCGGAATTCGTTGTTTAGAAGTTTTGACCATACACAAGGAAGGGATTCCCTACATAGTGCAAGGACAAGACATGAAGCACGGTACAATGATGGGACCTTCAAGTTTTCTCAACCATCCCTCGCTGTGCAAGGGGCTTGTCGTTTTGGCGTGATGTTGCGCCATGCTCAGGGAATTCAGTTCGGACTAGTGGGATGAGTTGGGATTTCTTGGGTCCTCCTTTTGGGTTCCTAAGATTCACATGGCTGTGGGTCAAAACCAGTGGTACCACTTTGGGGCAGGTGCACCACCCATTTTGGTCTATTTTTGTGGAGATTGGGATGTTCACTGGGGGATAACCGGGCTTTTGACCCATGGCCACATTGGTTGCGTGCCATGACCATTTTTTCCCACCAGCAAGCCGTCAGTGGGTGGCTCGCATGTTCACAACTCCGATCCCGCGAGGAGCTTGACGCCAAGGCTGGCATTTTTTGCCCTCCCAGTTGCCTGCGCAGTGGTGCCCGTTGTTTCCTTTTTGTTTGGGGAAGGGTTCCCTTTAAACTCAACCAATCAAAAAAAGATACCTTTTTTCCCCCTGGTCACTGGGGCATGTGAGCATTGATTCTGCGTAAAGTGAAAACGGTTGACCCGCTTGAGATGATGAAATCCATAGGTGAAAGATGGTGGTTATATGAACCCCCCATTGCTGTCAAGTTGACCCCGATTTTTCAATGGTTTTTGGAGCCTCTAGTGGTCTGATTCCAACCACTAAACCCAGGGAGAAGCACCCCTCCATGAACAAACTGGGGTCGAAATTTTCCAGAGTTACCATGGGGATTTGTCAGAGCACTGTGAGCCGTCCTTGGACTGGCTTCGTAGATTGGTCAAAGGGACATGGTCTCACCTAGTGAGCCAAGACCCGGAGCAATTTGTGGCCATAGGCGTCCTTTTTGGTTGGTTTGCTTTAAAAATAGATGGGTTCCCCTGGTTTAGATGGGGTTTATTCTATATACCAGGGCCATCTATTTTTCCAAAAGGCCACCTATGTTTGTTGCCGTCCTTTTCGAACCTTTCTCCACCAAACTTTGCGCTGAGGTTCACCCACAGTTTGCGAGTCTTTTGCTTTCGGGAGCCCCAAATGCGGTGAAGGAAAACACAAGGGGGAAAACACCTCTTTGCTGTTTTGAATTTTCTTGGCTGAGTTGGTTGAAATCTCCTCCAGCGTTTGTTTGCAGCCCCCAATGTATGTTTGATGCTTGCCAAAGGGTCGCCAAGTAAGCACATACCAATATGCTGGTAACTAAGCATATGAACCACACGTGTTTCTTCACAAGCTATGCCCTTCACCGACAGACGGGGAATATTCACCGCATCAACCAGCGAAGGTTGTTTCTGGGGTCTCCTCCAAAACCATCTTACATGTAAGGCTAGGGTTCGGGTACTGGTTTAGAGCCAGAACCAAAAAGATCCATTGCAGCCTTCGTATTTGTTTTTCGGGGCCTTTTGGACCGTTGACGGCCATAGCCCTCCCATGCCAGGATCGCAGCCGCCATCCCACGTTGCTGTCGCCGGGGGTCCGAATTGACTAAGCCACGGGAGAAATCTACTAGGTCCACTAGTGCCCTCCTCGGGTTTTGGGGGAGGGTTCCCCTACTAAAACAGACAAAAACGAAAGATGGTACCCTTATTCTAACCTCTCTGGAGGACCTAGTAGATTTCTCCTGCCGTATAGACTGGGTCCCCCAGTAGAGCCCTTTTACCTTTTTTGGGGTTTTGGTTCCCCCTACTAACACAGACAAAAAAAGGAAAAAGGGCATTCTTATTCTAACCTCTCTACTGCAGGACCTAGTCTATACGAGTTATGAACATCGACAATTGAGTGATGGGTCTCCCACAAGGGCAGAGAACTTCCTGGCAACAGGGGAATACGTTTGCGAGAAGGCCTTCTGGGATTGCAAAACCAGAATCAGAGAGAGCCCCTCTGTTTGCTTGGGAGAGTAACCCCCATTGCTTGTGGCCGGGCTAATGCAAAAAGAAGCCAAAGCCCCTTCTCTCTGGTGGCTCAGCCGATCTTGGCGCTCCCATGATCGGTATGCCAACAAGGGGGGTGGTGCATTTTGTGCGCAACGAGTCCACAGGCCGGCGTTTCTCGAAAAGCCCAGAGGGTGAAAGTACAATGTAGATGTTGCACATGTTTTTTGCGTGTGCTTTCTTGTTTTGGTGCATGTCATCCTCTTTCCACAATTGCAACCACATATGAATCTTTGGTGTCATCCCCTTTGACCCCCGTTAAAACTCGCAGAACTCAGTTCCTAAGCTCCTGGGCATTCTACTTTTGTGTTTGGACCATTTGACCGGTCGAAAAGTTTTTGGGTCTTTGGTTGCCCATAGGAAATGAGAAAGTGACGTGGGCCAGAGATGGATCCCACCCCGGTGCAATGGCCCTGTGGAAAAAAACCGCTGGGTTGGTTCCTGAAAACCAACCTCAACAGCTCCCTAAGAGAAGCAAAGGCAAAAGACAGGTGCTTGAAAAGAACAAGCAGATGTCTAGGTCTCTTTCAGAGACTGGATCTCTGTTGTTTTTCTTGGCGCACGAGTGCGACTTGTTCAAAGTCTGAGTTGGGGTTGTTTCACTCACCTTGCCCCAAACTTGCAAGGTCTCATGCAATATTCATAGTGACCCGAGAATTTCGGGCTTTGGACTTATGGTTGACGAATGCAGATGTGGGTGGAAGAGCTCGAAACTCTCCTGATGCGGTTTACTTGGAGGGTCCCAGATCTGATGGCCAGCATGGCTGCAAGCGCTGATAATTGCTCCATATTTTCGCGGGATATGGCTCAACAGGGTTGGTTCCGTTTGAATTCCTTGGCAAGCAACCTAACAAGGCGTCCCTCGCAAAAGGAAGAATACGCACAAGATGTGCGGCGATTTGCAATTTTTGGAGAGAGGTTCGAATCGCTGGCTTGTGTTGCGAGTTCTTGAAGCAGGGGCGTTTTTAGCGGGGGGTGTTGTGTGGGTGTGATTGGGAGAGGGGGGGTGTCCATTTCGATTCTTGTGGTGATTCAGACCACTTTTAGGTCCCCTCACCCTCCTATTCTTTGATGCATTTTGCGTGGATGTTAGGACTTTAACTTTGTGCCAACTAATGGTTTTCCATACTGTGGATGGACAAAATCCTGCACCACCCAAGAAACAATGGAGGACCATTGTTTGTTGGTATTTACAGGGGAATCATGATTCCCGAGGTTTCTTAGGTGGTGCGAAACGGATTTCGTCCATCCACAGTATTAAACCACTAAAAGTTCGTCACCTAATTGCAGGGCTTCGCAGATTTCGCCACCGAGAATAGGATGGCTGCACTCAGGGCTCCCATTCCACCGATCCAACCGAGGTCAACGGTGCAGGCTGCTCGGTCCACCTCCTCCTGCAAGGCCGCATAATCGAGGCAGGGGTCCTGATTGCTTCCCATTGCCCTGTGGATTCCACCGTTTTTGTTGAACAAGGGGGAGACCCTATGTTCGACCAAGTGCTGTTTTCTAGGAGTAACTTCCATTTCCATTCTGAACCCGGGGATCCGAATATTTCTAGAAAACCACCAAAAAGCTTTGGGAAATGGCTGGTTTTTGAAAGAACGATGCTTGCTCCAAAGCGAATCCACCGAATCGATTTGACCTTTGTTTCCATTTGCGTCAGGATATGTGTTATTTTCCCTTTTTGGGTTCAAAGGGAATCCATCCAGAACTACTGGAAAATGCTGTGGATGGACGAAATCCTGCACCACTTTGAAACCATGGGAAACCATTGCTTGTTGGTATTTACAGGGGAATCATGATTCCAGGGTTTCTTTGGTGCGAAATGGATTTCGCAACCATCCACCGTATGTTTTTTTTTTTTCCCCCCAGGGGTCGAAGTGACCTTTGAGTTTTCCCCTTTTTGGGTTCCCAGCTTTGGTCGATCCAAAAGCTGGGCTGGGCAACGTGAATCGAAGTTCGGCGTCCGGTTTCAGAGGGGAGGATGAGACCGCCGAGCCAGTGGAGACATCTTCGCCCACTGAAATGGGTGTTGGTTTCTCATCTGGAATGAACCCAAAAAGAAGTGGCCCTACTTTGTTCTACCCTTTGGGTCACGCAACTGGTACAGAATTTCAAAATTGAGTTTCCAAACTTGTTCAGCTTTGTTGCCAAGTGTCTTCTTTGTTTTATGTCAAGTGTTCTATCTGGTGAACTCGGGTCTCCGCCCTGGGTTCGCAACAAGGGTCGTTTACCTTGGTTTCTTGGTGGTTCCAGCCATACCCCTAGACCTCGCGAGTTTCAAATGACACATCCCACAAGTGTCACTTGGAACCAGAAAGTGCAGAGACTTTTTCGATGCAGGATATGGGTTCTCAAAATGAGGAGCGCTTTGGGTATGGCGGTTTTATGGGAAACATGGTTTTCCCGAAAAGTCCCCAATTTTGAGACACCATATTTAGCTAAGCCGTTTGCTGCTTGTGTTTGTTTTCAAACCCGTTTCTCGGTGCTGATGTTTTTTTTGACATTGCTCTGTGGGAAATGTCCACAATCCCACCACGAGCTGCACCCCCCAAGCCAACTAGCTTCACTGTGACAAATCCTTCCCCGAGTCGCAGACTGCGAGTCACAAGCGAAAACCTTCCGGAAGCCAACTGATCGGAAGGAACCCAAAACAGTTGATCCATCCCCAAACAGGGGATTCCCCCTGAAAAATTCCGATCCGAAACCTGGCTGCTGGTTGATTACTCCCCTTCCGTTTTTCATGGAGCTTCAAAGATTCTGATCCGCGGATCTCACGTTAGACTGCTGGAGCCAGCTGCAGGGAAGAGGCCGAGCCGAGCTGCCCTTCTCGGCGAAGCTACTGGTGGGTGGCGAAATCCCACGAAATTTCAGTGGCTCAAAATTAAACAGGAGGGGCAAACCGCGGGTTTTGGTCCATGTTTCCACTTACCAGGGCAAGCCATTTTGGTACCGGTTTCTTGAGCCACAGCCAAATCGCACCGTTTGAAACCGTGGTTGAAACCGTAAGGTTTGTTGGCTTTCTCAGGCGAATCATTATGTCAGGGTGTCTTCGGTGGCGCGAAATGGATTTCGTCCATCCACAGTATCATTTGAGGGTTGGTCAACAGGTCCTTTACATGGGATGCCCATTGGATGATATTTCACATGGGAAAAGTGACCCTGGTGATTTGGGGCCAGGAATATTGATCAACCCCTCATTTACCAAACGAAAATCAGGAATCCCTGTGGTTGACTCCGCAACGCCATTTTATTTGGCCGAAATCGATGCGGAGAGTCAGAGCTACCGACCCCTTCGTTCGGTGCCAATTGGCTTCTCCCAATGAGTCCCCGAAGCAACGTTGAATCCTGCCTAACACCCATTTGCTTGCCGTAAGTCCCGTTGAAAAGAAAGGGGCAGTGGCAGATTCCCTTTACCAAAAGAACAAAACCTACTTGGAACCAGAGACGCCCACCGAACTGCTTTGCACCGCTGCTGGACCTGCCACACCGCCGGATGTTTTTGTGTATTTTTTGTTTTTTTTCTCTGTGACCAGCATGACCATTCCTGGGGTCCCGTTTGATTTTGTCTCACGTGTTAATTGTCCATGTAGTTCAGACAACATGATTATGAGTGCTTCTCAAAATGGTGGACCCCAGTTTGGTTGGGAACTATAGGGAAACCACAAGAAAACCAACCATTCTAGGGGACCACTATTTTGAAGAGGAGGGTTCCAAGCGTAGACACTTCCGAAAGGGGCTGGTGTCTTCTCCCTGGCCCTGCTCAACATCGTAGAATGGAATATGTTAGAAAAAGCATCCATACTGGGAAGGATTCAGGCAATTGCAGTTGACTCGTTGCGGGTTGGAGCGAGTTTGAAATGGGGCGCTTTGCAGCATGCATTTGTCGCATTCAGGTCAAAATGCAACCGCTGTTCAAGGTCATGACCAGATGCTTCTTGAAAATCCGGTTCATATCTAGTGAACCTTACGAGTGTCTTCGGTTTGGTTCGACCCCCACCGCTCGCCCTTCCACGACCGGAGCCGTGTTTGCACTCGCTGGTGCGTGAGGCTGGTGGTCTGACCATAGCCTGACCGAATCGCACCTGGGAGAGCAGGGGAAGGCGGTTGGCTGAACGGCGATTCTGGATGAACGATATGGCTGTGGGTCAAACCCAACTTGGGGGTGGGTGAATTCATTTTAGTGGGTGGACTGGGATGCTCACTGGGACCCAACCGGGCTTTCGACCCATAGGCATATGACCGTAAAAACAATCAATGGTTCACTCCAGACTCCTATGTTTGTTAAACAAATCGATCTTCTCCAGCACCCTTTCAAAAAAGTCCTTCGATTTGGGCTTCTTTGCGCCCGCCATTTCCATTGTCTGGATACCCGTTTTCTTTGGTGCATTTTGCCAAGGGATGTTAGGACTTTAACTTTTTGCAAACTAATGGGTTTTCCACCAAACCACTCAAAGTTAAACTTTTAGCAGGGGAGCAGAAAGCAACCGAGAAACCACGAACAGTTCTCGGTGTTTTTTTTCCCAAGGGATCGAACGGGAGCCTAAGTCTCAAAGCTGAGGAACCGACATGGGCTTGTGCTTTGGTTTCCAATGAAACAACCTTCGCTTAAGAACATCTAGGTCCCCCAGCTAGGTGCCCTGTTACCCTTTTTTGGGGGATGGTTCCCCTACTAAAATAAACCCCAGAAAAAAATGGGCACCAACTTCTTCGAACCTCTCTACTGGAGGACCTAGACATGTCGCATTGAAGGGAATCTATCACTGGCAAACCATGGTGTTTTGTTTCCAGGGGACTTAAGCAAATGGAAGCAAACCGAAGCCCTCAATGAAAGTCAGGTCCATGTCCGTCGGTTGTGAAACTTGGTTCAAGGCCCTGCTTGCTTTGGAGTAGACACTAGGTCCTTTCAAGCAGAAAGGTTCCAATATGGGTGGCTCGGCGTTTTTTGGAGAACCCAACCTTTTGGTTGGCCTTTTCTCAAGAAAAAAGGGAAACCATGTAGTTACTTGGTGGCTCCCAGCCATCCGGTTCAACTTAGTTTTTTAGCCTAGTGTTTAGTGTTAGTTTCCATTCAACCCACTGAAAGTTCGTCACTTTTAGCGGGGGATCCGAAAACGAACAGCCCAGTGTGTACAGTCGCTATTATAGGGGGTGTTTCACAAAACAGACCCATAGCCAGGCCCTGAATTCGCCGATGGGCCATTTCCAGAAACCGTCAACCTGAGGCCGTCAACCTGAGGCCGGCGCATGTTTGCAAAAATCCGCCAACTTCGGCCAGTAGAAAGTGGCATGCGTGCAGAAAGTGGGCAATTGGGCAGACGAGTGTAACCCTGGTTGCGGAAAAATGGGCTCGTTGCCACTTTCGGTGAGTATCCACCGGAATCCGCTTAAATGTCATCAAGTCATGGGAAACTAGGCGCTTTGGTGGCATTCCGTGTGTTTTTCCACAACCATGGCTGCAACTGGGACGAATTGGCATCATCTCCTTGCCGCGCAGAGGTGCTCATAGTTCCCAAAGTGGAAGTGCACCTTGCCACAGCGCCGCGTGCGCGTTGCTCGGAGCCATAACATGTCCCGGCCCGGCTTGCCTGGGTTCCCTCAAGTGGGGTTCGCGTCAATCAAATTGTGTTTGTGTTTGTTTGGAATGAAAGAAAGACTTCCATTTGGTTAAGAATATGTTTCCCCTGTTGGTTTTAAGGGGGAATCTATCAGTACTGGAATTGTTTCTATTTTTGTCGGAGGACGAGAAACGTAAAGATCTTCCCAGGACTAGTGTTGAACATTAATGACTGCCTGCTAAAACTCGGTCAGCGACCTGGTCTTGTATTGTGTTTCCAACTTCCTGGTCTTGGGGTTCTGCGGGGCGGGGGGTTAAGGCTGATTGTTTGTTTCCTATTCCTTGGCTCAAGGTCTGGCAACATCATCCCTTGCCAAAAAGACACGGCCAAAAATAGGCCAAATGGTCTGTCAAAAGGGTAACATCACATGTCTTCGCCTAAGATTGTGGTTGAAGATTGGCCAAACAGATGAGAGCTCACCGGTCGAGGCTCAAAGATTTCAAGTATCTAGGTGTTAGTTCCCCATTCTTTTCAATCATCTTAAAAGAGCCATCCGCTTTCCATGCGTCTATTGTGGTTTCCTGAGGATCCCAACAAAACATGGCTGGAAGTTGCCCCTAGAGGAGTTGCAAACGGGAAAAAAATGAAAAAAATGAGCCTTCACCAAAAAGAGTCGAATGATTGCATCCTTGGACCAATCGATCCAGCTTCCAGGCCAGAAATCTGTACTCCGTATCCGGGTTTTTGCGAATGTCTGGCGCAATCCCACGAAGTTAAGCACCACGAAACGAACCCATGGCTGGATTTCGCCCAGCGAGTTGCAGGAATCGGACGTGAAGTTGGGTTTAAATCAACACGCAGTGGCATTCCCAAGCTTTTGTGGGGGGGCTTGTTTTGGGGCCATCCCAAGAAGTGAGAAACGGTTCACATGGAACACATGACTAGCGTTCTGGATATGTTGGGTTCAACCACTCGGGAAGTGAGTAGAATAAAAGCAAGCCCAACATGTGTAAAAACCCAAAACATTCCCTTTTGAGCTTATTGAATTCCTCCAGGATTCCAAAGCTTGTTCTACCGAACGGGCCTTTATCGCTATCCCCAAAAAAAATCATTGCTGCGGGCCCAACACATTTTTCGGCAAACGACACAGTACAAGTGGTGTGCCTCAAAATGGGGGAACCTCCGAAATGAGTGATTGTTCCTTTGCATATCACCCAACTGCTTGCATTGGGTTTCCGGTTTGGTGTCGGGCGCAAGTTGAAGCAAGCCTTTTCCTGACCAGAAGGGAATCAAACCACTTGTTGCTTTTGGTTTGGGAAGGGTTGAGTCCATTGGCTGCAATGAAGGTGTGTTATGTTCCCGTGGTGGCTTTAAAGGGAATCAATTTCGCTACTGGAATTATTGCTCTTTTTTGTTCTTTTTTTTTTCGCGGGGGACTCCAGCAATACGGAGAGTAATGCATGTTCAGGTGGATAATCCACCAAGCCCTCATTGACCTACTGGGTTCCCATTGCAATCCGCGCGTCTGCACGGTTGCTGCATGCGTCATGCTGCCACTCCTGCGACTAGTTTTCCCACTTGCAACCAAAACAAATCTGGTCTGTCGTGACGAAAGGTTGTCAGCTTCTAATTATTTGCACCAGATCATTTGGTTGCAAGTAAAATCCTTTATGTTAAGTCAGCGCTCCTGTCGCCCAATTTCGCTGCCCGGGCCGGACTGAGTTTCGTTCAAATTAGTCCTGTGCACATACTGAAATGAGGTTTGGTCCAAATAGCCAGTACTTACTTACACGGTCTGAGGATTCGCCTAACCATTTCAGCGGCTGAATAACAAGCTGCCAGGGGTCAGACGGAAGGACCCTCAAAAAGGACGGCTGGTGTCGCATGGGCCCCAGGTCCATAAATTCAGATTTACCCGAAAAATCGTTCAGGGATAACCTGTTCAAAGGCCCAAACCTTTGCTGACTTCCCCACTAAAAATGGGCTTGACCAAAAATGGGAACTTGACAAAGATGTCGTTTTTCTACAAATAAAGTCGACGAACAGAAGGTTCGAATCCTGCGATCCGACTGGACACAGGCTTGGCTCGACTTGGCCTCCGGACAAGCCGTGCGCCGCCCACCACAACGAGCTTCGAGTCCTGTGCTGTCCAGAACAAAAGACATGGAGGTTCTAGGCGCGGAACTCAACCCCTTGGCTGACCTAGTTGGCCCTTTTTTGCTTCATTTTCCCCCGAGCAACAAGGGTTCAACCTGTTCAGGGTCGGATCAGTCACAAACAAGAACATCCCAGCTTTTCAACCTAGAAGAAGTTGTGGGATCATTTGGTGAATTTCCCATTTCCAGAAAAAGTTCATACTGGTTCGGCGAAGTTAGCAAGTGGTAGCTTAAGACTTCCAAATCCCCCGCGTAGTAGAGCTAACCCTGTTAATTGGAGAAATCGCCGCAGTGGCTGACCACTGGGCCGAACATCCAAACAGCTTGGCTAAGTCCCGTCGATCGATCGACTTGCTCAAACCTAATCCAATCATTGGCGATGTGCGGATTACGCGGTCAGATTGGACTTTGCGCTTTGATTGTGAGCTGCATGAGTCTTACTTAGCGCGGACGGAAAAAAAATCCAACCGGAGGGATTCAGCGGAGTAGCGCTTGTGATTCGGCCCTGGATTTCGAACAGAACCTTGGAACTTGGTCGGCTATGGGCAGCGTCAAGCGAAGTATCCGAATTCGACTCGATTTCGGACTGAGCAAGCCGAAATCCCGTCGAGGAGAAAGTTTTGGTGCATCGAACAATGCCCGGCTCCAAAAGTGAGCCTGAATTCTTCCATTTGCAAAGACTGAATGGGTTTCTGATACTTTGACGTGGTTGTTATGATTCTTGGTTACTATCGTCATTATTTGTCTTAATCATGTCAACTATGTGTTGTCATTTATTATATGTACTATCATCGTTACATTCACCTAGGCTTTGTGATACACTCCACGGCATTGAGATGGTTGTGAAATTTGTTCTCATGGGTTGGATGTGGGGCATGATGACTGGCGAGTAGTTTGCGGCTGAGTAGCGCCAAAAAGCAACTGGAAGAAGCCTAGCATGTCAGGAGCGACCTTCCGACCGCCGACTCAGAAAAGTTCTGACCCGAACAAGGAATCTTTCCCCGAAATCCGAACATCTCCCACCAGTTGATCCGTTTGTTCCATTCAAATTGGATTTCAACCATGGCTCGCGGTTGAAGGAGGTCCATGGTGAGAACATTTTCCGGAGCCTGGGGAGACGACGGCGTTTCCAACATGAACATCACCGGGGGAAGTCCCCTGCGGTATCGCGAGCCCAGTCGGTAAGCGCTAGGCTGCGTCAGCTTTTTGAGGGTGAATCCCGGCTTCTCTTTAAAAGCAACCCAACAATGGTTGCCCTCAAGCAACGACAAGATCAAAAAATGGTTGCCCGAAAATGGTTGCCAGCAAGATCAATTCTAATCCCACAGCCGCTTGACTGGTAAATGGCCTGGGCTTGACAACTTACTGACTGGGCCAAGCTCGATAGCATAACGCGTGACAGAAAAGTCAACGCGAGGCTTCGCGAATGTGGTGTGAGAACTTTTATTGGCTGAAAAATGAATGTGTTTTATTTGCCCTTGTTGCTTTTAAAGGGAAATCGATTTCACTACTGGATATATGTCTTATTTTTCCAGGGGGCCAAGAAGCAAATGAAAGAGAAGATTGCCGCTCGCATTCTTGCTTTGAAACTGGGCCGCCCAGTGTGGGCTGTGTGGTTGAATCCCTTCTAGTATGGCTGTGGCCGAAATAAAAGTACCCAAATGGCACCTTGGCAACTGGAACCTAAGACTAAATCCTTGGTAGCCCTGGCTCTTGATTTTGAGCCACGCCCATGTGTGTTGGAGATGGAGATGGTTCCAACCCAAACCCCATGAGCAGGGGCGACCGGCTCGGATCGCCTTGTACTTTCTGTATTGGCTGGTATCTTCCAGGGGGCGGTTAAGAGTTGTTTCCACGACGTGGTACATCCGAATGAATATATGTATATGTATTGTACATGAGTTCATCTACAGATTTATGTATTTGTTGATGTGCATATGGTGTTACTTGTTTAAGTATTTGTTTAAGTGTTTGTTTAGTGGATGTCTAGTGATGAATCTCTTGCCTTAGTTGTGCTTGGTGTTTGTTTGTTTGCTTGCTTGTTTTTATTTGGTTGTATACTCATTCATTTATTTATTAATCGATTGATTGATTTACGTGTTTATTGATTGATTCACTTATTTATGTATTCATTTATGTATTCATTTATGTATCTATTTCTTGAAATCGCGTAGCTACGCGATCCGCCGACGCCAGTGGGGTGCAAGGGATTTAAGACCGTTTTCATTTTTCATGGAAGTGATGCTGGGGATGCTGGACATGCAAGGGATGCAGCCACACAACAATCTTCGCATCCAAAATTTCAAGACTTTCAGACACGCAAAATACCAGAGATGTCGGGAATGCTGGGAATGCACCGGCTGGCCACACAAATGTGCAAAAAACATGGTTTTCTTGATATTCCCCAAAATAAACCATCAAAAGCAGATACAGCCAAAAGCACGACAACGCAGGGGATGGTTCGCAGTAACTGCTCTGTACAGGTGGGGAATTGCCAAGTTCCCTTTGGTTTTGGAATGCTCTTCTCTAAGCCACAGGAGAATTTGGAAAATGTTTTTGAGGCGGTCATTTCTTTCAAGAACAATCAAATTGGCGTACCTGTCTGAAAATTAGGGTTGGTTCTCCTTCTGTTTCCTTGCGAAAT